TATCCATTAATAGCTCGACATTCATATTATACCCACAAATTTGAAGTTTAATGGAGCAGTCGGAGTTTTTGAAGTCCTCGAGTCCCCCTTACACTGGTGGGTTTACGATTGCTCACAAGGTGTGAGTACTGGTTCCCCTCCTCGCTTTAATAGGCTTAACGTACACCGGTTTCCCCTCAAAGTTACTGCGACACACGCCAAATATAGAAAGTTTTTAAGAACCTTACAATGGGAAAACTATGTAGTTAACCATACATGCATACATGAAAGTGCACACAATCTTCGAACAAGTCCAAAAGTATAGGAACTTCTCTCTTTTCCAGGCTGGACTGCGTAGTGACTTCCTTTTCCATAACTGCTCATGCTTCCTCTTTCTTTTTTATTTGCAGCAACAATTCGATGAGGACATTTGATGATGAATCTCAATCTGTACATGACCACTTAGTGCAAATAATACCTGCTGTTTGACTTCAAGAATTATTGGGCCGCTCCCAATCTTTAGCGGTTTCTGGAATATCTCCACAGTTAACTCATCGGGCTGTCAGGATTCTTTAAGTGACAGACCTTCTAAACTTTCGCAACAGTCATAGTGGCACAAATCTTCGGTACAAGTGATTAAACCAGCTACTAATTTACATATTGGCTCGAAACACGATTGTCCTGCAGTTGTTCCATGCTACATGTTCTGTAGCACTCAGTATCAAGTGATCTTTTCAAGTAAAAGTTATCGTGCATCAAATACACTTCTCGAATGATGCTGCTTACGCTAATATGAAAGATACCTGGCATCCATGCATAAATACTGCCATTTGAACCAATAACCCTATAAACGTCTACTTCCGTCCACTACAATAAGTATTCTCAGTGAAATTACCGTATATCACCTTTAAGCATAACATGGTGAACTGAAAATGCATTGATTTAGACACTCACCCTGGTTGGATAACTGTGGATACTTTCTGATACTTCTGACGGTACAAGTTGATACCTTGTGGTTAGCAAAGCTGAAAACTGAAGAACTTTCCAATGAATGGACGGTTATATTACTAAATAACAAACTATGCAGATAGACCAACAACGTCAGCTGGTTATAGCACAAACTTCGAACATTGTGCGTTCCTGTTATTGATAGTGGGTCCAACCTGTGTAATGGCAGATGAAAGTCCATCCCCGCCTCATGAATTGCAGCAGGTTTAATAAGGTTATGGGCAATAATAACTTGGTACGTGGATTATATATTAGCAAATACTATCCTGTAAACCTTCAAGAATTATCAATTTGATGGTGCTTGTAAACTAGCATCACTCATGTTAAATCCATTAAATGCGAATAAGAGATTTTATCATCTTCACTTGGACGCTATGCACATGCTGTAAAGTGATGTTTTCTCTGTCTCGTAACCGCGACCTTCTGAAGCTTTTCATAGAGTTTAACGACCTCTGCACTGTACTATTCAGAACCCGTAAAACCTTGTAGATTTTTCGACATGTATCAATGTGACGATGCCTGTAAACTGGCTTCTCTCATGTTAAATTACCGATCTGAGTATAAAACGTTTGCATTTACGTTACGTAACACGTATGTACAGAAACTTTCGGGGTCTGAAGTGGAAAGTAGCGGAGTTGAGGACGCCGCGTGATCTTCAGCGCTCTGACATCATACTTATCACGGAATCCCGGCCCTCGACGAACATTTCTGATGAAGAGATACATATCACTGGCATGGAGCTCTTCCGCAGGGCCTGGGAGCTCAGATCAGGAGAGGGAGTGGCTGTCCACGTAAGCTCTCGTTTAATCGCAAGAGTGGGTAGCGAAACCGCCGCAATCCGGCTCCCAGAATCTTTATGGTGCTACTTCTCTCTCCAGCGTACCATATAGCCGCTCTGAGCCACATATCGGCAGCCCACTGGCTTCCCTACACGTAAGGAAACGGTCATCGAGGCAGTCTTTAGGACTTCTTCCGCAGATCATGATTCCGTCGGTATTGCCGGCAACTTCAACACTGCATTCATCCACTCCAAGACCGAAGGGAGACACATCAGATCCTGCAGTTAGAAGCCGATGATGCAAGTAAGGCTGCTGGACTTTCGGAGATCGTGGGTGCTGTCACATGCTGGGAACCTGAGAGAAACTCATCGGCCCTTGGCTGCGTACTGACGAACGATGACCTCATTGTTGGTGTATGTAGCCAACCTCCCTTTGGCCTCAGTGACCACGCAGTAATAACTTTCCATATAACCACTAGGGAGGCCCTGCAGCCGGAGACGCCTGACATCTTCCCCTGTTACAGCAAAGCCAACTACGAGACCATGAGGAACTATCTCATGAATCCATCATGGCCGGTTGACTGGGCCCACCTCACAGCAGGTGAACACTGGTGAAGAAAATAATCGTCGGGGCCATCAGTCAAAGTGTTTCACAGGTAACACACGGACCGCCAGCGGGAGCTTCATGGCTAAAGATAATTCGAAGCAAGAAGCAGGCCTGGTTCAAGTTGCGTTCATCACGTAGGGAGCCTGAATTTTCGAATCACAAAAAGAATCGCAACGGCTGTAACATTAGAGTGTGTAGCGACAGATTTACCTGCCAAACAAACGTGGCGGGGAGGTTATAAAGCGACCCCCAAAACCTATACGGCCTTGTGTCCAAAGGGAAGTTGACCAGCAAGGGAGTGAATTTTATCACAGGTCCTGGCAGGAGTATACTACGGAGTCTAGAGATTGCCGAGCTCCTGAGCTCACACTTCCAAGCCCGCCTTGTATTGACACCAAATCCACACCGACTCGTCACGACACTGACCAGACCATAAATAACGAATACCTCTGACACATCTTATTCGCAGCGGGAAAAGTGTCGCAGAAAATATCTGCGCCACTTCCAAGCAAGTCTCCTAGCTGCGATAACCTAACACCTGTAACCTCAGAAAGCTGAGACAAAATGCTTGCAAAAGCAGTCTGCAACCTCTTTAGGCACTCGGCAGAGTCATGCGAGCTCCCTAAAAGACGTAAGTGAGCCATCTTGTTACCTACCCTCAAGATGGAAAAAGGCCTGGTAGCTCTGCCCCCTGTAGTGCCGAAAGTGTTAGAAGGCCTGGTAGCTGACACGGCCGGACACTTAAATGGGACAACAGAAAACCAGCACATGTTGCTTTTCTCAGCCTATTGAAAGCATTTGACGGTGTGCCGCCCACAGTTCTGCTTCACAAGGTCATATCGGCCTGAATAAGTGAACCGTTACTCTTTTGGTCCAGGGAGTACCTAGAAGGGAGGGAATTCCGCACCAAAGTGAACAGAATTAGGTCGGAGTGGAGATCATTGACTCCAGGAGTATCCCAAGGGGAAATCCTAGGATCACTTCCGTTTCTCTTTTTGTCAGTGATCTGCCACACAAAATATCCTCATCCATCTCCCTCTTCTGTGACGACATTGAAATTTGGAGGGTAGTAAACTAAGGAGTCGACTGCACAGCATTACAAAATGACTTGCAGCAACTCGGAATCTGTTCGTCGGAAAATGGCCTGAGCTTCAACCCGGAAGAGCGAAAAGTAACGCATATCAGTAAATTTGAAGCAAGTATGGACGACTTCCAGTACGTTTTGAGCGACCGCGCTAGCACCAGCTTGTCCACGAAGAAAGATTTGGGACTCGACTTCTCCGACACCTTGAACACCAGCTCCAACTACAAAGATATGGCTACAAGGCGAACGCCATTTTGCACTTCCCGCGTGAACAGCTGTGCGCCCACACCCCGGACTCATCCTCAACGTTTTAAAATCCTACGCATGACTTCACCCAAAGGTCACCAATACGGTGGCCCCTAACACTCAAGAGAGACTCCAATCTCCCTGAAAAAATGCAAAGAACTGCAACAAAATCGCTTGTAGGGCTAGGGGGAAAGGCATATCCTGAAAGACTAAAACACTTAAACCTATTTACCTCGGGTTATCGTCGGAAGAATGGTGATCTTATTACGGACTACAAGGTCGCCCATCAGGCAAATCAAGCAAATAAATTAACCATGCCTGCGACGTAGAGATCTTCACGAGGAAACCCCATTAGGATAGCATATCAGAGAGCCAGTACTATGCTCGCGGGCACTTTTTTCCCCCTGAAAGTATTTGTTTTATAGAATACGCCTCCGCGACATATGTCACAGCCCCCTCAGTTGGCTCGTTCAAGAGATGGTCAGACAATTACGTCACCTCCCATGGTTTACCATGGATGTGCTCAGGGAGTCGCCGACCTTACTAGCCTACCCTCACCTCCCTCCTACCTACTAATCACCACCTCGCTCCTTAGTACTACCACATTACATACTAATTCTCTTCTAGAAAACAGACTTGCTGTATCTACCACTACCTTTCGGGCAACCCCCACATACCTTTTCATTTCTTTTCCTTCTTTTTCCTCTTTTTCTCTATCTTGTTCCCTTTCCTTTCTTCATACCCTACCACTACCTTGCCATTCTCATTCAGGCGCCTACACAGACAGGAGTCAGGGTGGTTCTCTAACCGTCCCAGCAACAATTAGCTCCCAAGTCACTCCACAAATTGCAACTTACTAACCCTCAAAACACTCTCCTCGCTGAAGCTAAAAGCAAGAAGGCAGAAGGGATTTTCTCGTCCAATGCAGCAGTAAACCAAACAACTCGAACAAAGCCCTGAAAACTGGATGTGGGAGATCAAAAGCCATCAGTTTTCTACGCTCACACTATCGTTATTGGATATATTGGATATTGAATTGCATCTGGCGCGCTTGATGAGGTAGTTGTTACTGTCTGTTGTTTGGCCCATTCGGAATCTTACTCATTCACCTTCCAGTTTTGATTTCCACACTTCATCTCTTCGTTATCAAGCTGATTCGCCACTTTGTCTTCCTCTTTTCGCTTCCAGATCCTCGTGCCCACCACCAAACTCACACCTCTACGCGCTCCCCTGCAACAACGTACCTACCTACAGGCTAGAAGATAACGTATCAACAACTTGTCGTTACATTGTTCAAAATGCTTGGTAATAAGTGTTTCAGGGGATTTCCCGTTTGCCAAATACTCCGTAACCCTCCCAGATGGAGAGTTGGTAAAGCCACGCCAGCAAAAATGACATATGAACTCCGGAAGAAGGTGTGTGAAACGGACGATCCAAGGTATCGGACTAGATTGAATGATTCAACTGAAGAAGTGGGTGACGCATCGTGCAGATCATTTTTCATATCCGTTTGGTTTCACCTGTTACTAGTATGCTGTAAACGATGAGGTCGTTACAGCGTGGTAGTTCTTTCAATGTATAAGTAAATAAACTGTATTGTGCTAGTCTGTTGATGAGGAGCTTGCAGATATAAATAGAATTTGGTTTTTTCTTTATCGCAGCAGATGATAGTCTCCTAAGCTGCTAGTTACCTCTGTATTTCTCTTTGGTAATACTTAATAAGAGCTGTTTTGACTACACTGGGTGGTGACGTATGTTGTCGGACCTTTCATCAAATTTTGGAAGAAAAAAGTCTTCATCTCCATGTTATACTGTTGCCAACCCACCAGTCAAATAGTGCATCAACATACACTGATTTCTGGGCTGATCCAACAGTGTTCTACACAGTAGTAGCCTGGTATTGATACGTAATTCATAACTGTCTGTGTATTTGTCTTTCCAACTTTTGGATTTGGATGCTCATATCGATGGTCTGTTGTCGGTGTGTACTTATGATAAGGTCAATGTGTGTGGGAAACTCGCTGAACTACTTCATATTCCCGCTTTTCGAAGGAGAGTTGTTGATGTGTCGTTTACAAAACCGCTCACTTGTCTCAACTTCTAGCTGACAGTTTCTATCACGCCGATACCTGTTTGATTTTGATTCGCTAAACTACTACTTACAGCTATTTCTTGCATCTGAATTCGTTGCGCCTATCCATTACAGTGTTTGATCTCGTGGTTTACATTTTTGAAAAATTCCTCTAAAGTTCATTAGTTTTGGAAGCCACTGATTTCCAGTGACTCGTTTTCTTTATTCATTATACTATGGAAGGAGTATGACAATTCATATCGAAATCGGTATTACGTCTGTTTTTAGGAATTTTTCATCAATTTTGTTTCGAACACACTTTCGAGTCGTCAGTGTTTAGTCTAAGCATACAGACACTTTGACGATGTGGTTTCACTGTGAATTTGCACAGATATGTTTACCCATGCAATCGCACGTATGAAATCTAACCACATTTCTAGAAAAACAAGTAATTCAACGTAGAATGTCGAACGTAATCAACGTAGAACCTTACACAGAAGTGAATCGTTTAAACACATTTTACAGCACCATGTATGTACTAAAAGAATCGGCAGCCTATGAATCATCGTTTCCAACGGTGGCTACCAGTATTACGGTAACGTATTCACTGTTGAAAGGATGTATATCTCTAGTAAATGTTTTTATCTTAAAATTATGGCTGATACGAAGATGTATCCATTAGAGTGGCGTCAAAGCTAAATGATAATCGATTCATTTAGCCAAAATTTCAAAATTACCATTTTGATATTCTTCGCGTGGTAATTTTCTTTCCAGGTTTTAGAGTCACATATTTCCTGCTATTAAACTTAAACCGGACTCATTTAAACTAGTCAAGATTGCTAAGTTGGTGGTTAATTTTGCAATGGCTTCGAAAGATGTCTCTCAGACGGTGGCGTTCAAATCATTCATCAAAACGAGTGGTCTTTAAAAAGAAATAATCTTACTGTAAAAAGCTGGCATCAGTCTCAAAAGTCTTTCGGTGTTAGTTTGAGCCGTTTAAGGAAGTGCAGACTTCTCGGTTGGGCTCTGTGTGATAACACAAACCAGTGGTTTGAAACTATACGATATAGCTTAGAACCGGTGTCGGAGGTGCAGATGTACCCACACATTATCATCGTAATCCTCAAACAGAATTTCAGTATTCAGTCATTTCTCGTTGCTCTCTTTCGATGAATTTCTACCACTTTTGACTGTTTTTCTTCATCTTTCTTCTGAGTGCATTCTCGCTTGATGTACTCGTATGTGGTAACTTAAACTATTGGACACTAATACTGGTTCTTGCGTTGTTTCTGGCTTTCTACAAAAAGCTGCTGTGTGGAAAAAATGCTCCATTAGAGTGCGTATGGGATGCAAAACTTTAGCTGGTTTTGAAAGCTAAGACAAGTAGGTATCAAATGATATCACTTGTCATTTTCTATTCAAGTTTAATAGCTTAGGGGTATGCCAAGTTATTCGTAAAGTCTGGAAAGTGTGTAGATGCTTGTACTTCATATAAAAAAATGTAAAGATGATGAAAAATATAGCGCCGTGTCAGCATTTAACGAGTAATTCTCAACTGATATCACTTCACAACACGAGAAATACTCCTTAGCAGATCTCATTAGTGGGATTACAGATCAAAAAGTAGTTAGAAAACAAATCAATTTACCTATTATATTCATTATTCAACCTCACCTACTAATACATAGTCACATAACTGGAGGTTCGGTTTACCTTGATTTCTCAAGTATTTATACTGTCTCGTCACAGCAATATATTTATAGACTTGAATGGTGTTTCAATAAAGACTGACTTTGATCCATCGGTCTTCCTAAGAAACCTTTCCGCAACTGTTTGTTTACTAGTACTCAGTTAGGTAATAATGAAACTAGCGACCTACCGGCAAAATCTTAAACGCAGTGTTATCTCCTCGGCATTCCTGCGCCTCATCTCTCATGTGGCCCGATGTAAAATTATTCACATTGTATCCTCATTTTTCAGTGTAAAACTAAACCTGTGTGCATAAACACCGTGACACAATGTGCTTATTGACTCCAACAAGCTTAATTTAACTAGTGAATATAAATGATGGCTGTTGTTATTTGACCACGTTTCTGATGATGTTGATAATCAGCGTGCTCCTCAGCCACAGGTTGACAGAAAAGTCTCTCCTATGTGTAGTAGTCTTTCAAACTAGGGGGGAAGTATATAGTAGACATGCGCCAAATGAGAACAACTGATCCAGACTGTTATAGTCAACATTTGGTGTTCAGAGTAATAATTGTATCAATATAAAAATCAGAGAGACAGCGAAAAGTGTAATCAAAAGTTGCAGAAAATAAGTAGAAGAGGGTAAAAACGGTAAAACAAATAACGAAATTTGTTATGACTGTCGAGATGAAAATAATTTGTCAGTGTACTTGCGCCACTAAGATATTCTCTGAGATAATGGAGACTGTTTTTTTGCTCAAAAGAATAGCATTGATGGTAATGTGTTCCCTCAGCTAGATGCGTTGATCGTGGAGCTTTCATTGTCATCCTAGATGAAATCATCAGCACAAACTTCAGAAATTTGATAATGAAGGCCCCACGACTAAAGTATCCAGCTGAGAGAACACAACATCAAGTCACACAACCACTGATTTCGGTTGTCACGCCTACCTCGGCCAAAAGATCTTGATTTCCCTGCGCGACTCTAGCCAATGGTAAGGAACTTGATAAACTGACGCCAGATTTAAGTCTGGTCACCAACTATTTTTCGGTTCTAACCCACTTTGGCTAACACTGTTCATCAAAGGAGACCGTGACTAGATATGCGTAACATATACCCAAGCCACTCAATTCAAAATGAAGGCTTACAACCTTGTCACCTGGCATGACCTTCTTATCTAGCACTAAGCCTGGATTCTATGTGGCGAGTGGTTTCACAAGAACAATGCTACTAAGGCAGCTATGACTGAACATCTAGGATCTCCTTATATCGACGTCCAGTGGCCATGTTTCATAACCATGAAGTAGGAGTCAAACGTAGAAACTCATATAGGAAAGGCTAAGTCGGCTGATAAGGTTGTAAAACTTCATCGACTCAGGCGAATTAGGTGTGTGCTACGCATGCCTAGATACTGTCTACTTCAACGTACGATATTAGCTGATGGAGACTAAGACTGAATAATGGTTGAAGGTGGTCAGAATAAAATATGTATCCAGTCGATGAAGCTTCCGACTCGATCTGAGCCGTTCTCAATGGCCATGTTTCACAATCTTATTTAGAAATAACAAACCCATTTTTCTCCAGTATTGTCTGACTCACTAATCTTATTCACTTTAGTTTCACTAGCAAGTCTAAATAACTTTATGCTGTCACCTATCGTCACTGCTTTCTACACTACTGTTGCCCTTGTCGTCTACTATCCACGGTCATTACGTTATCTCTCTCTCTCTCTCTCTCTCTCAGTCGACATTTAAGTGTTTCCTGCTCTCCACTGTGTTTGAAATCCTTAGAAACGTGTTCACATGCATATATTAACTCCGATGTTGTTGAAATCCGCTAACTCTTTCTTTACGGTCACTTACGGTCCTCACCACTATTTCTACAGAATGTCAGAGTTCTTACCAGTTTCCCCTCATATTGGTGACGCTAACTCGTTGAGATAATTATCTAGCCATTTCCTCCTGGAAAACATTCTTAACATCCCCTTATTTTTCATCTGAATTCAGGTCGGTGACTTAATCGATTTTGCTAAGAAATATCCAGCTTATTTGTGTCTTTTCTTTCAGAATTTTCTGTGACTAGTTTTGTTGTATTGGATCTTTTCTTTTATTCCACAGAGCAGTACAGTGATGTTGATTCGTATGTGTTAATAGTGAGTAACATTCATCCTTTTGCTTCATGAAATGAGTGGTTTTTCGAAGTAGGAGTGAACCAATGGAATTTAACTAGTTTGTAGCCACTTACAGAATGATTCTAGAATTATCTAATTACTTGGTAACTACCGTGCTGGGACTTTTTATAAGTTAATTCAGATACGATTTTAATGCCATTTGTTTCCAAGTGAACCTTCCCCTACCGATAGTTGCTATCCTGATGTGGTGATGGGGCTTGCATATCACAATGGCCGAAAAAGCCGTGCGGATGTCACGCTTGTTCCCTCGAGGTCATACCATACCAGAAAGGTCTGTTAGATAGTCGTAAGATAAAAGATAGTTACAGCTGCAGTGTAAATTAATACACTATGATGGGGGTCTGAGGGCAAAGTCGTAATTCTGCCATCTGGGTATGATACGAAAGCAGTAAGGTGTTTCCCCTAGATGACTAGCAGTGCCACGCTAATGTTGCCTTTCCTGTGGCAAAGGGGTGTTGGAAAAGGTCGACCCATAAAATAACTTACCGTCTCTTCCCCGCAGTCTTCCGGAGCCAGCGGTATGGGTTTCTCCTATCTGTCATCAGGATAACTGGGCTCGAAACAACAACACCAAAGGTTGTACGTGACTAGCCTCAAGCAGATGTCCGATTAACTCTGCGGCCACACAAATTTTTTTCTACTCCAGGTACAAATAGCGTTCCACAGTGTGGACTGCCGGGGAGTGTCGACCGCCAGCACGCTACCAGTAGTATTGAAAGCAAAATCAAACATAACCTATTCTCGTCAGCTCTGTCTCCTCCTCTGCCTTCAACTCCTGATACTAATATTAGAACTGTTACGTGTAACCCAACCTCTTACTATGCAACCATTGTCAACGATGAAGTCAGGAAAACCTAATTCCTAGTCTCCCAAGACCGCACTATCGATTTCATATCACTACGTTCAACATCCGAACTGAATGTCAAATCCGAGACTCACCATAGCAGTGCACTTTGATGGATTTTAGTTGGTTGGAGGCAATTGGCGATGTTAAGCCCCCAAGTTTGTTGACCATATTGGAAAATGACCGATGGGATTCGGTAAACACTCAAAACGAGACAATATGTGATTAGTTACTCTGCAGTGATCACTCACTCGCCGCCCGAATGGCTCAGTGGTAATGTCGCTGGCTATAACACTAGATGGCACGGGTTCGAATCCTAAGCGGGACATCAGTTCCGTAAAGGTTGCAGATACGCCTTGCTGACGAGTGCTGACAAGCACGAAACCTAGCTCCAGGGCTTCCTACCGATCGTCCATTGTTCCATATCACAGCTAACTGGTATTGCAACCTTCACCGTGATTACTTACTTTAGGTAGTTGAGAGCAATTGTTAAGAAGCGAGAGTTCTCAACTTGCAATACTTGGGTTAGCCGCTATATAGAGTCGTAAAATAGTTGTTTTTTTTCTACGTTTCCATAGTGCGTGTGCGCCGTTCATGGAGATTGTGTAATCCAATCCACCTTTGATTCCTGTCTCGTTGGTTCGAATTCCACTTCATCTATTTCAGCCTAGGCGATCAGGTAGTAACATAAGCCCTTACACTAAGTATGACTCATTTCTATTGTTTTTTTAAGGGAGTGTTGTGTGAATGAATCTTCAATCTTTGGCTCCTACTAGAACTTGCGAATACAACTAACTGCTTCGAATTTCATATGCTTTACTGTTAACCACATGCTTTGTTGAATGTTCATGGTTGCCTAGATTACGTAGTATAAGGGTGTGAATTCGCATTCCTTAACCGAGTGTCTATACCATTTAATGTAATAGTACTATTTTTCAATAATTGTTCTCAACAAAATGCTGTATGCGGTAACTCTGAAAAATCCAGTTTTTGTGTCTTATTTAGTGGACCTGTGTTATTGATTTATTTTCTGAGTGCATAAGAATATTTCTAGCGGGGTAATTTATTAGTTGGGGTTGGTCATATGTGGTTAGGTCATCTAACTTGGAATCGCATAATTTCGAGCAACAGTTGTATACTGGTTTATATACTAATGGCAAGTAATACTCATTTCACGTAGGCTTATGCAGTAGTTTTAAGAAAATAGAAAAATTATCTTTAATTTTTCCCTAAAGTTTTATCACTAGGTCATTAGAATGTAGGTAGTGTACTCGTTGGCAGTATATATATTTTCATTGTAAATGTAATTAGCAATTCTTATATACTCTCTTTCGGATTCGTGGGATTCTTTTAATCCATATTTGGAATCTGGATGTGAGTTATTTGGACGTGAACCAAACATTATTCGAGACTGGCTAGTCATAATAAGAACATGTTTCTTTCTACTGACGCATTGTATAATGATATTCTATCTTCCCTTTATCAAGTTGTGTAACAATGTGTTTTCAAGTTCATCTTAGCATTTTTTATGAAGAAAATGTTCAAAATACTATGAAAATTGTTTCCTATAAAGGTAATGATGAAGTAATTCTTATGAGGTCATTTACTCTGGCTATAAAACACCTAAAAGTTAGTATCGGAGCTCAACAAACTGCAAACGGTCATTAAAACTGTACCTTTTCACCAGGCTATAAAGAATGAATTGGAATTTGTCTTTTTTCAGCATATCTGGATTGGTAGGATCAAACTATGGTTATGCTGATTGCATTTGATAGTTTTGCTGCTTGTACTATTGCATTTTATTGTCATTGAAACCTCAACCTCATACACAACTGCTATCCATTTTTTAAAGGCAAAGAACATCATGAAAAAGTCGGGAGAATTCTCTAAAGATGATCATATTATGGTTCCTGAGAAAGATGATCTAACACCGATAACGGGTGTCCCAGAAGAACATCAGTCTGAAAGGCGAGTTAGAATTTTCATACCAGCTAAACCAGCTACTCAGTCAGGGAATCATGGTACTCGGCTCTGGCGTATTGAATTTGACAATCGCGAACGTTGGGAAAATCCATTAATGGGTTGGGCTAGCTCTGGTGATCCACTTTCAAATACAGTCGTTGAGTTTGAAACTGCTGAAGCTGCAGAAGAATTTTGTCGACGACAAGGATGGCCGTGTTACATAGAAAGACCGAATATTCTGAAGATGAATGTCAAGTCTTATGGGTCCAATTTTTCATGGAACAAGCGTACACGAGTTGGATCGAAATAGAATAATCAGATTCTTAATATTCATCATGTTGTTACTGAATGAATTTAACAGTTATTTCAGTTCCTACTTGTTTTATTTCGATAACCTCTTTACTGTTACTGTAGAAATATAAAGTACTCATGTTTTACTTTTTCTTAATTTCGGTTTGATCGGAAAGTCACTGTATGCGTTTTGTTTGTTTGGGTAGATTGTTTCTTGTTTTACAGAAGTGAGACTAAGATTTATGTCGTCGTACGATTATTTTTGATGTCATATACTTTATTTATGATGCAGTACTATTTGGCCGTATATTGACCTATTTCTAATCCAGTGTATAGTTGACAACCATTTAATTCGGGACCTACACCTAGTGTAACTCATTCTTTAGAAGGTTATGCTTAGAAGTTTACCGTTCAAATCAAAGTCTTCGAGCAAGTTATAACCCAATGCATCAGACAAGATAAGTTTGTTGACTTGGCAGCTGTTCGCATGGATTTTAGGGTTATTGTAGAACGTATCAGTTTCACTTTCTAAGTATAGTTTGTATAATACCTTGAGATGTATGATTAAAAATGAGTGATTTCTATTTATATTATCAGCAAATGAAGTCTGATCGCGTTTTTATTATTTTAAGTTTTATGAAATTACACGGCCACAGGCTTCCAGGAAAAGTAAAAAGCTTTTGTTTGTAAGATACTAAAAGCACTGTCTACTGTGTTATCATTTTTCACTTGACACAGAATTGAATCACGTGAACAGATAGCGTATAGTAGTTGCAAAGTACAACTTAACATTATTATTATTATTATCATCGTGACATGGAATTCGTCGTTACATTTAGTTGTATTTTGAAGGACTGGCTCTAGAATACCTTATTCATTTGACGGTCAGGGCTGTGGCTCACTAGTCTAGGCGCTTAACTTCCAGTCGATAGGCCGTGGGTTCGAATCCCACGTCATCTACGGAAGTTCGGGTGGCCAGATAGTATCATTAGTCCTCACACAATAAGCATGGCTCATCATCGAATACATACTGTGTACGTGACTGATGAGTTCATTTTGATTCGATTTGTTTGATTTTTTCTACACTTTTTCGATACTTGATATCAAGATGAGAACTTTTTCTATTTGTAGCTCGTTGACGTGGATCTTTGACTACTGATCATTGAGTCATGGACTAAAACTCACACCAAATGTTTCAGCTTAGGCTATTTTGTATCATCATAGGCTTCAAGATATTAGGTGTAGTTCCTGGCTTTTACGGGATTTTTGAATCTATTATTTTGCTTTTTTGGAATTTGATAGGTTGGTAATTAAAATTTATTCAGAGTTTATGTCATGAGGTGCTCTTAATTCACCGTAAAAACGTGTGAAATTAAATAAATTGACTCAACGAACATAGTAGTTCACTCATTGTATGGATTTATGTAGTAATTTTCATTTCTTCGCTCCATATTCATGCTATCTGCCTCGCTCTCTCTTCGTTTAGTTAAGATGCCAATTTCAGTAGATCGAAAACGTCGCTTAAATGCGGGTGCAAAAATGGCTCGTCTGTTGAATGAAGAAGAGGAAGATGAATTTTATTCTACTGTATACGGTGGATTTACAGAGGTACTCACTCTTTTTGCGTATAATTCATTTGTTTATATTTAATAACATTTTTGTGTTTGGAATTTATCATTACCATATTGTGAATATTAGTTTACGTGGCGTAAAATATATTAAAATATGAAGAGTTTAGAATGGGAAAAGCGTCCCAGAGTCGTATTATCTAGTCTTCAGTACTGAACAAAAAGTATTTCTATCATATTTGCAGTGGTCAAGAAGCTAAATGATTATGCATTATTGTGCTTTTTGTTTGTTCTCGGTTGAAAGCCCAAAGTTTCACATACAACATATCTACTAAGTTTGGTGGATACTTACCTTACATCTGAGAAATTAGTACCTAAACCGTGTATTGCTCTGATATCTGCATTCATTGTTAGTAGAGATTGTTGTAAGCTTAAAAGCGAATCATTGTTATGTATACGTTTTGGCAACAAACTGTTAAGCCCAGTTCCAGTGGAAATGTGTTATTACTCAGTGTTCTAACACAGGAAGTGCACCACTCAACTGAATGCCAGTGAACAGCCGCCTTTGCACTGGTTATCTGAATAGTGCAGTAAGAACTAAGATGAATAGGGAAACACACCGATGTCTCCTTGAAATCTCTCCTCACGCGCCCACTGACTACAGTTCGAACAAAGTGAAGGATGGGTTCTACTAAAACTGCACAGCCTCTTACTGAATGCCAAACGTTCAGATATGGCTATCGTGGTGGGTACAAGTAGGAGGGTTAAGGGTGGCTCTTCGAATCCTAGTTAAATTAACGAATAATGGTGACCAACTGCCACAACTGTGCTGAGATAGCCATCTATTATTGAAGTGCACGAGTCTCAAGAATAAAGAGACATCATGTGACGCAGCCTTCACGTACATCAACTCAATGGTGGACGTAGACCAAATCACCACCAATTATCACCGAAGAGGGTGGGTGGAAGATTGTAACTCCTTCTGGCATGCGCCTCTGGAGTGATGACGCGTTGATTTGAGAACGCCAATGTCTGCACCCAAATAGATGGATATAGGAAAACTACAAGTGGGAGACCGTTTGTAGCGTATCTTGACTATGAGGATGTTAAGAATGTTTTCCAGGAGGAAATGGCTAGATAATTATCTCAACGAGTTAGCGTCACCAATATGAGGGGAAACTGGTAAGAACTCTGACATTCTGTAGAAATAGTGGTGAGGACCGTAAGTGACCGTAAAGAAAGAGTTAGCGGATTTCAACAACATCGGAGTTAATATATGCATGTGAACACGTTTCTAAGGATTTCAAACACAGTGGAGAGCAGGAAACACTTAAATGTCGACTGAGAGAGAGAGAGAGAGATAACGTAATGACCGTGGATAGTAGACGACAAGGGCAACAGTAGTGTAGAAAGCAGTGACGATAGGTGACAGCATAAAGTTATTTAGACTTGCTAGTGAAATATTTCTTTTCAATGACTTCATTATCAAGCTGTACAGAGGTATTTATACTCAGTGAAGTGATAGATAATTGCACTAAACAGTTGCTCAGTTACATGCTCCTGTGGAGCTGACTATATTGGACGTTGTAAGCAGGCCCTCCGAAAACGTGTTGCTGAACACTACCCGGTTTGGCTTACCGGAGGCGAGCAAAGGAAAATGACTTCATCCATATGTGAACACCTTATTGAATTGGGACACTCAGCACCTCGAGATTCATCCTTTAAAATAATTTACAAAGTTAAATTGAACTACTCTAAAGGTTTACGTTTCCACCACTTATGCATAGCTGAAGCATTAGCTGTACATGAAACCACTTTCTCTACCTTGGCCTTAACATATCATTTTGTTGATTTTGTCAGCTTTTAGTTCATTTTGGTATACTTCTCTAATATTATCATTATCACCAATTTTCACTTCGTTGACAACATTTGACCCATATTTCACTTTTTAATATCAATTCAGCTTATTTATCACCATTTCACAATTCTTTGACAGAACTTGTTGCTTATCTCACCACTTGTTATCATTTCGTTTCTTTTTCAATGACCCATTTTCTATCTCTTCCACTTGAACAAATACTACCACCTCCACCGATTGTATATTTTGCATACTGACTGAGCAACTTTTTAGTGCAATTATCTGTCACTTTACTGAGTATAAATATGACTGTACAGCTTGATAATGAAGTCGTTGAAAAGAAATATTTCTTCGCTGATACATGCCTTGTTCTAGTTGATGAATAAATGGTTATATTTCGTCAGTTGTTAGTGAAACTAAAGTGAATAAGATTAGTGAGTCAGACAATACTGGAGAAAAATGGGTTTGTTATTTCTAAATAAGATTGTGAAACATGGCCATTGAGAACGGCTCAGATCGAGTCGGAAGCTTCATCGACTGGATACATATTTTATTCTGACCACCTTCAACCATTATTCAGTCTTAGTCTCCATCAGCTAATATCGTACGTTGAAGTAGACAGTATCTAGGCATGCGTAGCACACACCTAATTCGCCTGAGTCGATGAAGTTTTACAACCTTATCAGCCGACTTAGCCTTTCCTATATGAGTTTCTACGTTTGACTCCTACTTCATGGTTATGAAACATGGCCACTGGACGTCGATATAAGGAGATCCTAGATGTTCAGTCATAGCTGCCTTGGTAGCAGTGTTGATACTGTCAATCCGCCACAAACTTTCATTCTAACTTTGTATGCGTTTGAGATGTATGGTACTATCTTTGCTTACACATGTGAGGTTACGATTGTTACCAACATTGTTGGCTTCAAAGCGTCGTGACTTAGCTTTGCGGTTAACCGGGCTTGGGTATTGTTTTCGCACTTTTTATTTTCATTTAGATCTAAGTCTTTTTAGTTGACTGCCACTTAATGTAAAGAAGAATGCATTTTCGATGCTACTAATAAACACCACTGATTCCTTTTTTGATGCCGACATGTATGTTTTTTTCATGACATTCTTGTTATCAAGGTCCTTCAGTAGCTGAATGTGTACCAAATTGATTCTTAAGGTGATGAAGTAACTTAGTTATTAAGAAATAAGTTAATGTTCATGCTAAGTGTGTATATTCATGATTATTCTACATGGTTCTTAGCTTATTATCCAACCATCTTTTTTAATGTGATACTTCGTTTTTAGGAAGCAGAGGATGCAGATTATCAATCAGAGAGTTCTGTCGAGGACGTAATTGATTCTGATTTTGTTGATAGTAGTGAAAGTGAAGATGATGATGGAGCAGGATCAGAGGAAGATGAAGAAAAGCGCAAAAAGCGTAAGAGTAACCGAGTTGTAACAAAAGGCTACAAGGTATGTTCTTTTTCGAACTTACTGACAGATTGACTTTGTGTCTGTCTACTGACTCAACTATTGAGTCATAGTTTTCACCGCTGTTTCATATTTCAGATTACAAGCTGGTTAGATTCATATTAGACTACATGTATCGTATCTACGCGGTATGCCTTATTTTGTTGGTCTAGCATAACTCGCTGGTCTCCTTAAAATAAAGGTTTCTGGAGAGAAGGAAACGAAAGTTTATGAATCTCATTAGTTATATACGTACATAAGGTTCTGAACTACGTATCGTGTGAGGGTTAATAATATCGTCCAACTACCTGAACCTTTATATTTGGATCGTTGTTTCACTCCATAACCTTTACTTTTACAACGAAATAATTACACCAATGAACCTTAGTCCTGTTTAAAGAAGTATTGTAACTTTAGGGGGATAGGTAAGATCGTTTATTTCGTTTTAGCTTGTCGTTAACAGCACACTTTATAGTTACAATGTTTATCTGCTTCTTAAAAATTTCCCCTACCGTCCAAATATTAAGTCGAAATTGTTTTGAAAATCTATGACTCGATCATAAGGATCCTTTTTTTAATAGTTCTAAACAACCAATTCTTTTGGAATTTCAATATCTAAACTCAGCAGCAATATATATATATATATATATATATATATATATATATATATATATATATATATATAACATAAACATAGGGTAGGGACCATTAAACGTACTATTGAAAGCAATAAAACAACATGGAGAAGTTATTCGGCTAGGAAAAAAAGGAAAAAATAAAGCAAACAGCAACAGAAATATGTTGGTCAGAAAGCACTTTCAAGACTATGTTCAAAGAAGCATATGTTGCCCTAATTTTACTTTTCGATACCAAAAGAAACAAAAGCTACAGCATGATCACCATTATTTTCAGTTCTAAGTCATGATCTCTTGCATTTAATCCAGTAGTTGTTAGGCACTAATAAGTGCTTTAGCATAACACAACTAACCACCCCAGTTCGAAACCATAAGCCATGTGTGCGTTCGTGCAGTTGGTGATGAACCGCACTTATTGCCTGAGTGCTAATAATACATTCAGGTTTCCCCAGACCTCGGAAAGTGAAGCGGAATTCAAAAATTGTGAAACACTGGTCGAAAGTCGAGTGACTGGACTAATGATCCGGGCTCAGCTATTTGATGAAAGTCGATCTCCATTACACTCGTATAACAGAGTTACCTATATGGTTGTTCCACTGAATCCTTTCAGTGCTAAAAACAACACGGCGACCAAACAGAGTCATCACACATCTTCAGCTCGAAAATGCCAGTTACGATAAGTGTAGAGCAGAAGCACCTATTGTATATCTGACTCTAAAGCACCAGTTGACAGTCACGACAGCACCGGAATATACCAAGTTACGGAAACTTCACTCAAAATAAACGACTGAAAATTTTATTAACAAGGTTTTCAACATCATAATTGGTGTTAATCTTTAAATTATCTCTCCACACGGACACATTCGTTTCACTTTATAAAAATCAAAGTAGGGTGGTGATCGTGTACCGTGTACTGGTTCAAGAATAGTTGACTCACATATTACACAGAAGAACAGCATTGTGGAGGGAACCGTTTAGCACCTCTTAACGGTACTCACCTGCGAGAATTTCAGCCAGTGACAAGCAGATGGGTGAACCGGCGTGGACGCGTGACTGACTGATTGACAGAATCAACGTTGGAACCTTGCGTACAGGTGCATCGGCTCAAGCTGCCACACTTCACAGTAGTACAAACAGAACAGATGGATAAGAAAAGAGTAATATCGAAGTAGAAAGAGTAGTGTGACAGGATAAGCAATTTGAAGACGAAGGTTGATGCTAATATATAAGCTTTGAAAGATGTCATCATGACTACCGATGAACGCTTCGCTTTCTGTAGCAAAGTTGACAGCTTCTCATGGAATTCATCCTTTTCGTCATTCGAGCTACACTCGGTGGGTGCGTAGACGGAGATTATGAATAGACATCGCCTAGTCTCACGACCCTTCCTAGTCCTCTCAGATCCGTCCAGTCGAACAGCACACAGACGGCCGTTGACTGTCATCCAGTAGAGAAGTTCACTTTCCACCCTACAACTCAATGATATGCCTACACCAGCGAGTCCACGAGAGTTGTCTATTGGGTCTCTGGATACTCGTACGGTGAATGTTGAAGATTCCCCACTGTGGCCAGGTGACGTCAATTTAATAACTACACTCGGATCCTGTATTCGTGTCTCAGAGACAGATAATACATTTATGGGTAGAGTTTCCAGAGTTTTGGTGAGCGGTGCTTGGTATCAGATTTGGCGTAGAGTTTGGAAGTTGAAGGGTTTGGTTGCTCTAACTCTGAATAAGGAACCTGTACCACGGACACCTGGAGACCGTGAAGCAGGGGCATGTTTTTAGTTTTTTGCGTGTGAATACGACTGAATCCCTGTTGCAGAAATCGGGATGCCACAAAGGGTGAGAGTGTGCTATTTTTACAGCCGACGTTTCCTAACTTCCCGTTGAGAAGGCAGCATCAGCGTGGCACTGTTGTTCATCCATGGTAAACACATTGCTGTCACACCCCACCTAGCAAGCAGCAGTGCGACTTCACCCTCAACCCCTCCTCATAGTGTACTGATTTACGCCCTAACGGTAACTCCCTTTTGTTTTACCGCTATCCAACCTCGAGGGAACAATCGTTCCACCAGCATAACTTGCTGGGCTATTGTGATATACAAGGCCGACCACCAAGTTAAGATGGCAGTTGTTTGTCGGGGATGGACATTCAGACAAATTTGAAAATGATAACAATAATATCATGCTGTTAAAATGTCAACGTAACTGTGGTAACGTGATGATAAACGTAGTGGTTGACTATGAAGTCCTCATTGTCACGTTTATTCCAAAATCTGTTTGACATTTTTGCTGTTGAAATCGGATAGCGACCGTCGGTAGGTAAAACCCTGGCGTGTCTACTTTGAACGTATATTGTGTTTATTAGATGTGCATACAGCACCCAAGTGTGGTTATTTCAATTGATCTCACCCTCTGAGTGCCTGAGTCGTGGGCAGAAAGTCCACTTGTCAATTTGATCGCTATTCGTTATCTATGTGTGCGCCGGGGCCTAATAGATTCATAAGAAATCGAGATAACCGTACTACTCTTCGATGTCTTTTTGCAGCCTCTACCTACATACCTATCGACTGTATTTTGGATGGTGCAAAGGATGAGTTCTACCGAAAACTCATTTATGCTACATACAGCTAAATGTTCAGATGTCGTCGTATTAGGGGCAACTTCAACACTGAATTAGGGAGACTGAGGTAATCAGAAAGTCTTTCTTGAATTATGTACGGTGTTTCATGTGAACTAAGTGACTGCGCCGGGCATCTCCTTCATTGTGTTCTGACAAACATATGTTCCTAGTCGATACTAACTTCAAACAAAAGGAGGTATATTGACTCAAATTGCATCAGCTGTCATTTTACCAATGGTGGACACAGATAATATGGCTCTGAGCAATTGTTGGAGGGGATAGGTGGATAATTAGCGCTGCCTTTCTGAGTACTAACCTCGAACTCAGATCACACGTTAGTTCGGGTAGATGTATGTTTTCGCCCTAATGGATACAGGAAACACCTATCAATGGAGCATTTGTGTGCTCGACCGGAAATGAGAGCATGAAATGTTGATTTAGAGAAGAAGTAACTAGACGTTCATCTGAGCATGGCAGCGACTGTCGCTCAGATGAATTCTGGTATATTATTCATTCTGCTATTGAAACAGTGGTAAAGATGGTAAATAACCTACAGCGAAGGGTTGCAAAGAAGTAAGTGGATTTATGCACCATCGTCCGAGGTGATTGATGACCATAATAAGTAGCCAAAGGATCTTGAACGTAATTGAATGAGAGTCTTCGTAGCGGGTGGGACACTTCGAGGCACAGTTTAGCTGGCCTACAACTATGCTTCGGTAGCCCAACATGCCACTAAATTTAAGGTAGATGGGAAGTAGATACCAAGACTTCACGGTTTGCTACCAGACGGTTTTAACAATATTAAGGGGTGGGAGGGAAATAACTGAGTATAGTAATAGAGGTACCAGGTAATGTATGGTAGTCCCGTCGAACTGGTCTAGATCACTGATCATGCAGCTCATAAAGAAGGAAATTCCGTGTATGACAACTAAAAAGGAATCAATTGGGCTAACATCGTGTGTTGAGTACTCGAGTCAATGGTTAGATGTTATGTCGTCATTGTCATTGTCTGAGCTTACCTGTAAGACAGTGCACATTAATCAAACGGGTTTCTGGGGTGTAGGTTTTTGGAATATGTTCCTAGTCGATACTAACTTCAAACAAAAGGAGGTATATTGACTCAAATTGCATCAGCTGTCATTTTACCAATGGTGGACACAGATAATATGGCTCTGAGCAATTGTTGGAGGGGATAGGTGGATAATTAGCGCTGCCTTTCTGAGTACTAACCTCGAACTCAGATCACACGTTAGTTCGGGTAGATGTATGTTTGATGACCATAATAAGTAGCCAAAGGATCTTGAACGTAATTGAATGAGAGTCTTCGTAGCGGGTGGGACACTTCGAGGCACAGTTTAGCTGGCCTACAACTATGCTTCGGTAGCCCAACATGCCACTAAATTTAAGGTAGATGGGAAGTAGATACCAAGACTTCACGGTTTGCTACCAGACGGTTTTAACAATATTAAGGGGTGGGAGGGAAATAACTGAGTATAGTAATAGAGGTACCAGGTAATGTATGGTAGTCCCGTCGAACTGGTCTAGGTGTAGGTTTTTGGAATAGTTTTCCGCGGCTTCATCGATTTCACTAATACTGAGTTAATCAATATATTTTCTTGAAAAATTAACAGGAACCTAAACGTGCAAAGGCTGCCCCATCTCATGCTCCCAGTTCTTCCGATAAAAAGACAAGTGAGAAGAGTTCAACAGAGTCCCAAAGCAAATCTACTTCTGAAACTAAAGATAAGCAAGAGACAGTTACAACGAAAGCTCCGGAGGATATTCCGACCTATGGTAAGACTAGTAGCTTTTTTTTCCTTGCGAAGAGTGCGAACCAGCTTTTTCACCAAAAGCTGCGGAAAATTTAAGTATGTAAACATCCAAGGTATTGCAAGCATACCATGAAGCTAAGTGATAATATATAATGATGCACATTATTAATTGTTAGACTCTTGAATTCATTTGATTAATAGTCATGAACCTGTTTTCCATGTTTAGATGCAATCACCGAGTAGCTGTATCTGATGCCTTCTACAGATCTACTCTTTCCCAGAGAATCACCCTGAAGACATCTGTTGTGGCCATCATAATCTTTTAGTAGTGTCTTTGAATGAAAGGAGCAGATTTGAGTTCATTAGATAGTATGGGGTTTCGGAAAAATTAAGGAAACATCATGGTTATAAGACACGGAAGCTAGATCTACGATCTCTACCGATTTATTTCACACGCTAAACAGCCACCACGGTGCATGTTATACATTATACAAATGTGAAGTGTAAGTAACTAATCGCTGATACCAACCGCTTTTCGTCATTTGTAGTAGCCACATATGTTTGTTACTTGTGAAACACTGAGATTATGATTTTACTGATCAGACTGAAAATTATTTATTCCAGTTATTCAGATTCAGTTATGCCCGTTTCCCTACACTAAAACTCATCTGTGAAACAAGACTATTGCGTCTTCAAATCAACAAAGCTATTCAGTTGATACGAAGTGGTTTGATGCATCCCCTTGATCATCATCATCATCATTATCAACATAGGACCAGGCATTACTGCGTAACGGTCCGAGTTGCCACACCTCATATCAGCACATCAAGTAAAAAGGTAGTGAGGTGAAGGATGAAGATAAGTGAATGCAGTCAAAAGAAATATAAAGTACGAGAAGAAAGGAAAGAGGAGTGACAAAATAGTGAGATTCGGTATAGCGTTGTTAAGATGAGGATAATGTGTGTATACATCTGCGCCACTGACTTCGGTTCTGAGCCATATCACCTAGGGTCTCCAACCACTGGTTCCTCTTGTCCCGTGGACCCCAACCACCTAGTCTGCATCGTCCTACATGGCTTAAACCAACAGTCAGAGACTTCATACATTGGTGCCATGTTTTAGTCTGGCCACCTCGGGCCTTTTTCCAGCCTGAACCCACCTCAGCCAACATTGTGTGACGAGGCAATCGGTGACTAGGCATACGTAGTACGTGTCCCAACCATCTCAGTCGATGAAGGTTCACAACCTCGTCGACTGACTTACCTCTTCTCCCTAAAACTCTACACCTAACTTCTGCATTACTCACATGGTGACACCACGGAATACGTCCTATACTACGAAGGCAACGGTGGTCAAACACCTGAAACCTTCTCATGTCTTCCACTTTCAATGGCCATGTTTCACAGCCATACAGTAGAACAGAGCGGACTGCTGTGCAGTACACGCGACCCTTAATAGACAAACGAATATCACGGCGGCGCCATAGGTGGCGCAAATTGGCAAAAGCCAATCGAGCCTTTTGTATCCGTGCAGAAATCTCATCGGCAACTAACCCACCGGGTTGATCCTACTTCCCAGGTAAGTGAAGTGGTCAACACACTCAACCACTTCACTCTCTATTGTTAACCGCGGTACCGCTGAAGACCAGTCCTGGAGCAAAAATTTGCATTTGGGTGGTGAAAATCGCATCCCAAACATTCTCAAATTCCCACTCAAAGTGTTCAGAAGACTCTGCATCTTGTCAGCGTCTTCACCTAACAGGACTATGTCATCTGCATATTCTAGATCTAAGGAAAATTCACCTGTGATCCGGTCAACGTCTTTGTAATTAGGTGACGAGAGGGAAACCTCCATAAGAATATCTATGATAAAATTAAATAAGAATGGGGATAGTGGGCATCCTTGACGGACACCACTTGATGAGTATAGCTCCCTGGACAACTCACCATAGGCTCTAACATGCCCACAAGTGTTCGAGTAGAGAGCTTTCAATAAGGTGATGTACTTACTAGGCACGCCTTTCAGTGACAGACACTGCCATAAGACTTCTCGATCAACGGAGTCAAATGCCGCCTTCAGGTCGAGAAATACAGCTATTGTCGGGCGTCTGTAAGCATGCCTATGTTCCAGGACCTGGCGCAGTGTGAATATTTGGTCGATACATCCACGGCCAGGTCTAAAGCCTGCCTGGTTTTCTCGGGCTTGCTGTTCCCGAGCTCCACTCAGGCGTCGGAGAATTATAGAACTTAGGATCTTAGACACTATGTTTGTCAGGCTGATTCCTCTGTGGTTATCACAAGAGGACTTCTCGCCTTTCTTGAAGACTGGGATGATGAGTGACTTAGACCAGTCGGAGGGGATCGTATTTGATTCCCATATACTGGCTAACACTTCCGTTAGCCTGACTAAGAGAACTCTACCACCATTCTTGTATACCTCAGCAGGTAGTCCGTCTGGTCCTGCTGCCCTTCCCCGTTTCAGGCTACCTACCGCTTTCTCAACTTCTTCTAGTGTTGGGGGACCTGTCTCTATGTCCCATTCAGGGTCCGACTGGATAGCGGGCAGCGCAATGGTGGCTGGAGGCCAGTTAAACTGTTCCTCAAAGTGTTCTGCCCATCGTCCCAGTCGCCTTCCCTGCGAGTGAATCGCCGATCCGTCCTTCTCCGCTATAACCTCACTAACTGTTGTTGACCATTTCCCCCCAGTCTCCTTAATAAGTCTAAATAACTGTCTACTGTTACCGATCGCCGCTGCCTTTTCCATCTCTTTAGCCTTTGCTGCCCACCACTGTTCACGATCGTTGCGCAGACTTTTCGTCAGTTTATTTTTAAGTTGCGCTCGCTCTTCATTGTACTCAGAGCCTGCAGGGATGCATTCACGTGCATCCATTAGTTTGGAAGAAGCTGCTGATATCCACTGGCTCTTTTTAGCCATTATCTTGGAGTCGGCTACAGTCTCCAGTGCTGCTTTTACAGTAGACTGAAGATGGCACCAAGCTTCTTCTGGATGAGTGACAGTCTTTTGTTCCGATAACTGCCTAGCCAACTTCTCACTGAACACGGCTTTGGTGTTTTCGTTGTCCAGCAGAACTCGTAGTGGTTTTGTTGCCAAATTTTTTCTACGTCCATTGAGACGCAGGCATATACGTGCTCGGACCAACGCATGATCGCTGTCCAAACACGTACTCCAGAAGGAGCGGCAGTCTTCCACCGATCCTCTCCAGCGATGACTAATAGCAATGTGGTCTATCTGTGTCCATCGCTGAGTCGAGCTCGGTGGACGCCAGGTCAGACAGTGCCTTTCTTTATGTCTGAAATTTGTGCTGGCTAAAAATAGGCGGTTATCTGAGCATAGTTGTAATAGGCGATCACCGTTATCTGTACGTTCAGCTGGGATTCCGAAAGTGCCACCTAAGTGCCTTTCTGCCTCACTCAGTCTACCCACCTGTGCGTTGAGGTCACCTGCAACAACCACTACGTCCGAACGTTTGGCTTTCGAGAGGAGGTTAGACAGTTTATGGTAGAACTCGTCCTTCACTTCATCCGAACTACAGTCAGTGGGTGCGTAAGCAGAGATTACAAAGAGACAACGGCGAGTCTCACTATTCCTTTTAGTTCTCACTGTGCCGTTCAGCCTCATAGCGCAGAGGCGACTATCAACTGGGATCCAGTCTAGTAGTGAGTTTTCTGCCCTGGTGCTTAATGCTATACCTACACCTGCAAGACCACGAGAGCTAGCTATCGAATCTCCAGAAACTCGAAGGGTGAATTTTGCAGATTCACCAGATTGGTCAGGAGAGGTCAGGTGAATAACCACACTTGGGTCCTGTATGCGTGTCTCACAAACACAGCACACATCCATGCCCGAGTTGCTAGAGTCTTTGCCAACGAAGCCTGTTGGCCAATTTGACGGAGGGTGCGGACATTGAAGGCTCCAATATGTAATTTGGAGCGTGGTTTAAGGAGACCAGGGATGCTGTTCTGTGGACTCAGATCGTTGTCGAAGGCTGCAGAGGTAGGAGAAATTGAAGATGATGCAGCATCATTAATTAAGAGACGTGAAGGAAGATTAGAAGGTAATGATGGAGGAGGAGGATAGCAGTCAGAAGAAACTTGGGTGCTGACAGAGTTGTGAGGGCGGTTGACACTTCCCGGCTGCCCACACCGTGGAAGGCTATTTCTTCTTAAGGTACCTGAAAGAGATTTGTGTGACCGCAGAGCCCATCGGACATCTGCTTGAGGCCTGTCACACCCAGCCTTTTGAGTATGATTATTTTGAATTTTTGTATTTTTGGGGCCGGATGAGCGAAAGGAAACGACAAGTGAACCAACACCGCCGGCCCGGCAGACCGTGGGGCGTGGTGGAGTGTGTTATTTTTGGGGCCGACCTTTTCTAACCCCCCCTTCCACTGAGAAGGCAGCATCAGCTTGGCACTGCTGGTCATCCAAGGGAAACACCTTACTGCTGTCACACCCCATCCAGCTAGCAGCAGTACGACTTCGCCCTCAGACCCCCATCATAGTGTAGCAATTTACACTATAACGGTAACTGCTTTTCGTCTAACCACTACCCAACAGACCTTTCTGGTATGGTAGGACCTCGAGGGAACAAGCGTTCCACCAGCATAGCTCGTTGGGTCATTGTGATATGCAAGCCCGACCACCACGTCAAGGTAGCAGCTATCCTTCGGGTAGCAGCTATCGGTCCCGTTGATAATATTCGACTGATTCTCCTCGAGTTATGACTCGTTAAAGCTCATAGGGAATGATGACCTGAAAGACTGACAAACTGACTGGTGACTCGCCTCATAATTACTGAAACAAAGCCACTAATTTTAAACAATGTTACAAGATTTTGACTACATTTTATCTATCTGATAATACACAGTTAACTAAGAGTAAAAATGAAGGTTACCATGCAGTCAACTACTTTTTTCATCAACAACCATAAGTTGGCTTTACTCTTCATCATCTCACTTTCCACACGAAATAGTATTAGATCTATACTTCAAAAATTCCTCAC